GAACTTTATGATGATCTTCTTGGTGAGTTCCGATGAGATTCTTTGGTAAGCTCCTGGACTTCTCAGTTGGTTCCGGTAGAACTTCCGACGAATGTTCGGATTTTCGATAAACTCTCGAACTCTCAACGAGATCTCGATCTTGACTCTAGCACAACACCTGCTTTATATCTCACTGCTATCGTAGTTAATCCTGCACACTTTTATCAACATATAGATTAGATCAAACAAATTACAATTGACTTCATTATCAAAATATGAGATTCAACAAGTACCACCACCCAGACTGGCGGTACCACCGCTTGACACCCTGCTACTAGGCGGTACCACTGCCCAGACTGGCGGTACCACTGCCTGACACAGTCTTGGAGACTATGCCACGATGGTTCCACCTGTTGAGTCATTGTTTGGGCCTTCCACTTGGCCCAACACATTCCAAACATGGGCCTAATTGGCCCCTAATTGAGTTGGCTTAATTACATTCTAAACCGACTCAATCTAGATACAATCGATTACAAGTGAATCCTTGTTGTTTGGCATGTCATTGGTTTATCTAGTGCTTCGTCCGATCCTTCGGCGCATCGTCCTCTTTTGTGGCCTTTTGCCCAATCAGCATGCTGACTCCGCAACTCCGATCTCCTTAGTACAATATCCGCTCTTCTAGGCCCGATGCTTGAATTTACGGCCCGAAGCCTTCTACTAATACTTTGACTATTCCTTCGGCTCGACGTCCAATCTTCTGACATGTTCGCTCCGGTCCAACGTCTGATTCCTCCTGCTTTAATCAATTTTCCTTTTCTGATTGACGTTATGTCACACCCACCTGAATTTAATTCTTATTTAGGAGGTATGAACCTAACTCAAAATTGATAATATTATAATTCAATAATAATCCAGGATCCAAACTAACATTTGAGGATACTAAAAATATTCAAACATCTAACGATCCATAAAACCTGTGCAATTTATAATCATACAACACATCACTCGATGATTCATAAAATCTGAACCCAACTCACCAAAATAATAACAACAACATAAATTCATAAGTGTGGGAGTCTATACAATCATCAAACCAACGTTTACCATATGTTCATATCATTACATGAATTAAACTTGACATACTAGAATCCTAAACATGAGAGGTCTTTTAAAACTTATACAAAACCCACAAGTTTAGATTCACCGTCAATATTTCATTAGATGCAGAGTGTGCTTATACAACAAAAATATATATACTAATAAAGATCTACCTAAAATCTTCTAGCTTTCTATTGCCTCAGCCCAATTTTAACATTTAAGCAAGCGACAAGCTATCCTGAAAAATTTATACAGCAACAGAGTGAGCATATAAAGCTCAGCAAGTGACTAACATATCCATGGCAAAAGAGGATAATTTTTAAATAAATAAGGTTTTAAAATACTAGGCAGAATATAAAGAATTCATAGACGTAATCTCACTAGGTACAGAATCATAAATGTCATTTTAATCAAACATATTTGGTTCATAACCGATGGAGCATAGAGTAATTGGAGCATATTAATAACCAATAAAATGTTTTAGAGCTTATCAATGACGTATGAAAGGTTTATGAGTATATCAATGGCAATATAGGATATTCCAGAACATATCAATAGCATATGAAATATTTCAAAGCGTATCAATGGTGTATGAACATTTCGGAGCATATCAAAGAATTATATGAAACAGAAGCTGAAACGTCGTATTTGACGTTGCATTCATATCTTTCTTATCCAAAGCGTATACAGAAATACATAACCAAAGCTCTGGATATCATATCAAACATACAAAAGGTGTAGTGGGACCATAGACAGAATATGATTCATCCATTTCTGAATGACCACCAGACAGAAGTCTCCCATGTTTGGGAGCTCCATCCACCCATGTCTAAGTGAAGTCAGAGGGGGCCGGCAGAGCCTCGCAGGCTCTATGCATAACTCCCTTTACCATTTCTGGCAAAGGTTTATATTATCTCACAACACTTAAGTACAAAAGGGCAGTATGAACAATAAATAGCACATCGGAAGCACATGTGAAATAACAAAACGTACATGTGCCTTTATGAGTCAATATGATGCAAGCAATAATCTTTCACAAATGTATTCAGATTTGACAGGAAATGAAAGCAAGAGTACACACGGATTCCAAGCAATCATATATAGCTCAATTCAAATAAGAAGGTTAGATAAATTCAATATCCAAAGGAATGAAACTGGAATAGGCATATATCGAAAGCAAATGCAGAACAATGGAGTATACATGTGCCTATATGAGTCAATACGATATAGCATAAACGTTATACAATATGTTTCAAGAATGTAAATAACTTATAGACAAGAGCAAACTAGAATTCAAGCATTAATATAAACCTTAATTGAGTGAAGGAAACTGAATGAAATCTATTTCCAAACGAATGAAAACAGAATACGTGAAATTGACCAAAGCTCGATTTCTGACAGAGTTCGAGAGGCACATTGAACAAATACTTCAGATTGTCAATTATGCTCCAATACCCTCAAGAAAGCTATTGTCGAAAGATATATCAAGATATTTTCTGATGAAATAAGTTTCGTACGAATCAAGGTTTCCAACAAGGAGTTACTATTGATTTAGTAACCAAAGGTCAAAAACAAAATCACCGTTTTGCAGAATTCCAATTTTTTCAATCTATATTTCAGAAAAAAAATCTACAAGTCTAATTTCAAATGAAGTCAGTTTGGTACAAATTAGAATTTCTAACAGGGACTTATAGGCATTTTAGTATCGAAAGGTCAGAAATTTCGATCTCTATTTTGCAGCATCCATAGACTCATTTGAAACAGAAGTTTGGGTAAGTATTCGATGTCCAAAATTTTCAATATTAGTATCAAAAGAAAGGTATAAGAGTCTAATTTTAAATGAATAAGGTCATCCTAAATCCATGTTTGGTGCTAAAAATTATGGTTGAAAAAATATATAGGGGTCAGTTTATCGAAAAATTACAGATCTATGGTTTTGTGTCTAACAAGAGAAATATCAGGTTCTAAGCAGAAGTCTTTCGGATTATTCAGAATTAATATGAGAATAGAGACTAATATTTCTGTAGGATGGGATTAGAACACTTGCCTTTGAGAATTATGATCCCAAATGGAAACATTTGAGCAAAGAAAACCCCAAAGCCCCAAATTTCTCTTCTTCTTCTTCCCCCTTTATTTTTTTCTTCTTCTTTCTCTCTTCCTCTGTTCTTCCATGCAGCTGCCTTCTCTGGTTCCTTCAGAATGAAGGCAGAGAGGCTTAAGCGGTGGGATTTATAATTTTATGTATTTTACAGTTTAGTCTTTGTATTATTATATTTACGATTAGGTCCTCAGGGTTTACATATAGGTCCTCAGATTTTCTTTTTTTTTTGTCTTTGAACAAATCCCCAAATCTTAAGAATAAGTTCTCAGATTTATACTTTGGCTCTTTTATCAAATTTAAAATAGATTCTTACATTACAACTAAAAATTTATACGAAAATTTAGAAATGAGGGATGTTACACTAAAAAAAAGGGGGGGGAAGGAGAAGAAGAGAAATTTGGGGCTTTTGGGTTTTCTTTGCTCAAATCTTCCCATTTGGGGTCATAATTCTTAAAGGCAAGTATTCTAATCCCATGAAGCTGAATACTGTGTCATTGCCACCACTGCTACTGAACTCAATATCAACTCCACCGTTACTTCTACAATATATTGTGATAATGTTGGAGCTACCTACTTATGTGTTAATCCAGTGTTCCACTCCCGCTTGAAACACATTGTCATCGACTTCCACTTCGTGCGAGATCAAGTTGTCAGACATCAACTTCATGTTTCTCACGTACATACGGTTGATCAACTAGCAGACTCACTCACAAAGCTTCTTGTCCGTAAACTATTTTTACTGTATCGGTCCAAGATTAGTATCCTTGATAGAAGCTCAATCTTATGGGGGCATGATAGCAGATAAGATTTCCTCAATTACATAAGGAAATCTCTGAGCAGTTGAGGAAAATCATCTCTACTAATATGTATAAATAGCCATCAAGTTCACTATCTCAAACATACTTAATTACATCTCATATTCTATCACTTATCATTATTTTGGGTGATAAAACCATATGTCTTACCGTGGCGTCATGACATCCCAACCTAAAACTTACATGACAAAGAATTTTGTAACCTTAAGATCATTATACCATCATCAGGTCACAAACTTCCTTTTTTCCTAAAAAAAAATATTATTCTATCATCTTCCTCGATCTTTCAGCACTTTGGTAAGCACATAACCCACCGCCGCCTCCCCCCCCCCTTCCCACCGGTACATACATTATCTTACAACTCGGTGAAAACATATGCTTTGGTAAATAATCATTCACTTGACAATATTATTCTATTGTATTGTATACCTTAAGATCGTTGTACTTAGGATCGTTATTCACCGATGTTTTGATCATCAATTTCCTTATCATCAGGTCATCGACTTAAAAAAAAAATTATTTTATCATCTTCCTCGATCTTTCACTGTGTAGGCACTGCTCCCATACATTATCTTACAACTTCCCGGGTGATCACTGCAACTCTCTTTGTGAAGAAATTCCGATGCCGAGGTAGTAATAATATCACGAGATAGCAGAATGGACACAGTGAATAACCGGCTGATACAAACTAAATATACTTGCAACGATAATTGTTCCTACGAGTACTTGCATTCCCAACAACCAAACCAACCTTCAATACGTGAAACTATTAACATTAACAGCCACTCTATGTGAGTGTCTATACGTGAAAAGCTCAGCACTTCCTCTCGCATCCAAACATGTATGCAAATGATCTCTTTCAAGCGCCAGCTTATCCAAATACCACACACCCAAAGCTTCCTCGCCATCATATATACACATCCCCAACAATACATATCGGAGGCTGAAACGGTACATAAATTGGCAGCCTATAGCTCACTTACACCCCCAGAAAAAGAAGAAGAGAGAAGAGAAAATTCAATCAGAAATCCTTTACACAGACAACAAAATGCCACAGATGCGATGCACCAAAAAACAAAGAGGAAAGGCCACAAGCACAAATGCATGCACGAGAACCAAAATGAATGCGAGTGGCAACTCATCATACCAAGCACCAAAGGATTAGCTTAATGTCGGAAGATTCCAACTGTTAAGTACACACCCACCCCCCCTCTCTTATGTACGCCATGAATTAAAATACCCTAAGAGAAGCTATTAACTTTTGTTCTCCTTTTCATATTCCTTTGTATCTGTTCTTTGTGCAGTATGTGGTGGGCATCTCCCCACATTTATTCACATTATTATCTACACTTTCTCCTCTTCTTTCTTCTACAAACATTGGAAGCTTCACCTTCGCTTCATCTCCTTTCTTCTGAGTCACTGTAGTGGAGATCGATGTGGTATACCCTTCCGGGGGTGTGTCCGGTAGCTGATGGTGGGAGGAGTCCCCGAGGAAATGCTACTGCTGCCTTCGTTCGAGGTCTTGGCCACCTTCCTCGGGGTCCGCAACTCATCGTCGGAGTCGGAACCATGCGCCAACTCGCGGCTGGGCTTGGCGCGGAGCTTGAAGGTGAGCTCCGGGTCCGTCCTCAGGCCCCTCAGCTGCGATGAGCAGAACACGGCATAAAGATGGCGTCTTTATGATCCAATACTGAATGCTGCACGATGTGGAGAAACGAGGGAATACCTTGCAGCCGATGGAACAGAAGCGGAAGGAATCCAGGAGGGTGCGGCAGCAGATCTCGCAGGTGTTGGTGACGCCCTTTCCGGGTCGCGGCTGCGGCCTCTCGTTGAGGAAGACGATCTTGGCGCTGTTGATGATGTACGTCTGGATGCAGGAGATGTCTATGAGCTTGGATACCTCCGACACCCTGATCACATTGTGGTACGACGATCTCCGGATCTGCAAATCAAGAATTCCTAATTGATTCGTTGGCTGCAGAGGAAAGAAAGAAAGAAAGGAGCGGGCAGAGCTGATGACGGACCTGAACGACGTGGTGATCGCTGTGGTCGGGGAGGCAATAAGAGCAGAGGGCGTCGCCCATGCAGTCCAAACAGTACAGGTTGCACTCGCTCTTGCTGGAATCTCCATGGATCTCGCAGGAGTGGAAGAAGCTCGCCTTCAGGAGCGGCCGCAGCCATGGCGGACCCATGTCCTCGTTCCCCAGCTGAAACATCGGGCTCACCTGCACACCAAAAACACCGAATCCAGCAAAAAGGAAAGGGAAAGAAGGAGAAAGACCGCATCAGAACACAGTAAAGATGCCGCCTTTACCATGACTTTCTTCTGTTTGCTCCGCAAAACACCGATCTTTCGGTGATCCTCGATAGCCAGCTCGCCGCCGGGAGGCGAAGCAGAGGAGTTCCGAAACGGCGCCTTGGCCGCGGAATGAAGCTTCGAGACCACCCAACGATGCACACGGCCGCCGGCGAGATGAGAGAAGGAAGACGGAGGAGGAGAAGAAGAGGAGGGAGGGGGAGAGGGTGGGAATTCCAGAGGGCAGGGCAGAGAGGAGGCGTTTATATATGGCGGTCTGCCCAAACCAACGACAAATATTTTTCTCAGGAAACAAAGAAAGCATTTTTGGCTATTGAGATAATATATTTTTTTTTTTTTTTTTTTGTAAGGAGAGAACATTTGTTTTTGGGGGTTGGTATTACGTAGATG